TTTATTATTCTATATTTCATACAAACAAAAATCATGAGGTATAAATAAAATGAATCACTAAGAAACAATACAACACCAAAGTGACTTGCTTTTAGATTTAGGAGATAGTTTTCTAAGTCATAAGTAGATTTTAGGAAAAGCTAGTGAAAAATAATGAAATTCACTTACCTGGCATTAGAGGTGAATATGCTATACAGGTAAAAATGTGGCACTGTTGATCTATCAATTGTAACAAAGGCATCACACTAATGCAAGATGTTAATAATGGGGAGATTAGGGCAGCCCGGTGGGGGTGGGGGTGCGGTGACTATGTACTTCGTGTGCTAATTTTCTATAAACCTAAAACTGCCCTAAAAAGTAAAGGCTATTAAAATATTTTTAAGATGCTTAAGGTTCTGATATCTAACCATGTAAATTAAAGATGGGAGAAATAAGTTTTCACCCTTTATTATCATGTGTTGGACTTTAGAAGTAATACTTAACAATTAAAAAAGGAAAAAAATTTTAAAGAAAACAAAGTAAAAAAATAGAAGTAACACTTAAGTTTTTAATTGTCTGTTTTTATAATATCACACACGAGTTATTTATGGAAGTTTAGTGACCTCGCATCCATGTAATTCCTTCTGGCTTTTGACTCTCTGGATGGTGTAGTGTTTATGTTTCCACGGCTTTTGCACCTTCATCGTAAACTGTAAGGTGGTTCTTTAGTATGTGAAATCTAAACACCTTTGGCTCCATGAGAGTTGAAAAATACGTTGCACATGTAATTTCATGTTTTCAGACAGAAGTTGTCTGACAGTTTGTTAAAGATAGCAAAATAGTTTGTGTTTCTCTTAAGTAGCAGGTAATCGCAGCACATTATTTTTTGTGTGTTCATTTATCCTTAAAAATAATTGATTTTATATCCTTTTATTCATATATTAAAAGTTATTTACCTGAAGAAGCTGACATTTTATGTAATGACTTTAGAATTTTTTAAAGCTTTAATAACTTTTGATTTAAAACCTTTGAAACTTAGATATATTATTTGCTGAGTTGTAGGAGAACTCATTTTCCCAAATACAAATAGAATTAAAACTCCTCCGAAGAAATGATTTCAGTAGCAGGAATGACATTGCTTTAAAAGCTAGCAACAGGAAAAGCATTTGGGATGATTGTCAATTGTTTTTCTTATTAATTTTGTGGGCATTCTTTATATATACTTATATATATATATATATTTGGAGTGCACACCCTTTGTTGAATATATGTTTTGCAAATACGTTCTCCTACTCTGTGGCAGTCCTCTTCACTCACTTAATGAGATTTATTTTTTTATTTTTATTTTTTTTTCCTTTTTGTCTTTTTTCGTGACTGGTTACGGGATCGCAACCCTTGGTGTCGCGTCTGCACCGCGCTCAACCAGTGAGCGGACTGTTCTCTATATGGGATCCGAACCCTCGGCGGGACTCCTGCCACGCTCCCAAGCGCCGCACTCTACCGAGTGCTCCACCAGGCCGGCCCAATGAGATTTATTTTTAATGAGAAATTCGTAATTTTAATATAGCCCAACTTATCAATTTTATCTCTTTATATTTGTGCTTTTGTATCTGGTTTAACAGATTTTTGCCTAATCGAGGTAATCAAGATATTCTCTTATGCTTTTTTAAAGGAGCTTTACTGTTAACATCTACATTAGATTTGAAATTCATCGTTTTTGTGTGTAATATGTGTTTTTAATCAAGATTCATTTCCTCCCATAGTAGAAGGTAATTGATCCAACACCATTTATTGAAAAGACAACTCTCTTGGGCTGGCTTATTAGCTCAGTTGGTCAGAGCGCAGTGCTGATAAAAGCAGGGTCCGGGGTTTGATTCTTCTACCGACCAGCCTAAAAAGAAGTGTAATCTTTGTGCAATTTCTGTCATAAATTAGTGGCCAAGTATGGGTCTATTTCTAGTCTCTGTATTTTCCCTTGATATATTTGTCTATCCTACATCACCACCACTCTCTAAATTGTTGTGCCTTTGTAATAATTCTTGGCATCAGGTACAGCAAACCTTTCCTATTTGTTTTAGTTTTTTTTTTTTTTTTGAACAGTCTAATAACAAGTTTTAGCCCTTGGCATGTTCATACATGCTTTAGTTTTTTTGGAGGGGGGGTTGTTTGTTTGTTTTGTCAAGTATCTGTGCTCAATTTTGAAATTTTGATTTGTTTTTTAAAATCACAGATTAAGAAGATTTGACATTTTTACAGTAACGAGTTTTGCAGTCCAGTCAGACATAAATATGAACTGTCCATCCATTTATGTAGCTTTTCTTTAATTCTCCAACAATATTTTGTATTTTTTATTGAGATTTTGCACATTTTAATGGATGTGTTTCTAGATAATCAATTGTTTGATGTTATTATAAAGTTAACCTTTTAAAATGTTAACATTCTAATTGGTTGATGATGGCACATAGAAATATAACTGATCTTTGTATGTTGACCTTTGCTGCTGCAAATTTATTAAAGTCACTTATTTCTAATAATATTCCTGTGGATTTCTTTAAATTTGCTTTTTACACAATAATGTCTTCATTTTTATTTATTTATTTCATTTCTTTTTTTAAATTAAAATGTTTCATGTAATATTAAGTAGGAGTGAGATACTGAGCATCCTAATCTTGCTTTAATCTCAAACAGGAATCTACCACTATTTCACCATTAAACAGGCTATTCAATACAACATACAATGAAGTTTTTTTGTAGATACACTTTATCAAACTAAGCAAATTCCCTTCTATTCCTAGTTTGTGAATAATTTTATCATAAAAGATAATGAATTTATTAAGTGTATTTTCTGTATCTATTGATAGTCATTGTTTTTCTCCTTTGATTTGTTAGTATGGTGAGTTACATTGATTATTCTAATGTTAAATCAATCCTACTATCATCCAATACCTCTAATTTTGTCAGATATGTTATTTTTATATATAGCTTTGTTTGGTTTGCTAATTTTTTGTTTAAAATTTTTATATCTATGTTAATGAATGAGATTGACCTATAATAATTCTTTCTTTTAATGTCCTTTTAAGGTCTGTCTTTTAATGTCTGCTTTTATTATAAAATTCATACTGGCTTCATGAAGTGAGTTATTTCCATCACACATGCTTAATCAGATGGGAAAAACATCTAAACATGAGAATTTCCTAGTTATTATCACTCTGGATTATGACCTCTCCCAGGTTTTGGCCAAGTCATATAATCTTTATTATCTCTCCAATGTCATCCAATAGATATTTTCATGCAATTTTAACCTTCAGGTTTCCTTGGTGGTACAGTTGATTTGAATATCCTACTATGTAACTCGATGTTTTCATGCAATTTCAACCTTCAGGTTTCCTTGGTGGTATGGTTGATTTGAATATCCTACTATGTAACTCCCAGAAGATTCTTTATTGCTTTTCATCACAAAAACACTGAGTTCTTCCATGTAATATGTCACCTCTAGCTCTTATTTTAGAAGAAAATGTGAACCTTTTTTGTCTTCCAAGTCGGTCTCTAATAATTACTCCAGGATGTGATGATTTATCTGGAGCCCTCATCTTTCTTAAGCTGATGCTGAAATGCCTATGGCCAGTAAATAATTAAACATGTTCTGGGTGCCTATTCTGTGCAAGTTGCTGATAATACCAAAATGAATATGACATTGTCCCAGATTTCAAGGAGCTCACTCCTAATAAAGATGTTAAAGCATAATATTAGTATAGAGAGGTGGAAAGATGTAAGTAATCAAAAAGAGACAAAGTGAGTATAACCAAATTAAGACTTGGGCATCTATGAAAAGATTCTAGTAAAAGATGATCCTGAATGATTGACAAAGAATGACAAGGTATTTGACAAAAGAGGTCACAGAGGGATCAAAGCAGAGTAAGCACCATACTGCCACCTTGTATTCATAATCCCAGGAAAAACGGTACATTTTGGCTGAGTCAAAGAGTTTGGGTGCAGGTAGGAGTGGGGGAGATGGAATCGATTAAGATGGTTACTACAAAGTCTCCTTTTCTGGGTCTCTAATATTTTCAGTAAAACATTTAGGTGAGAAGAAGAAAAATCCCACTGTAAAAACAAGAGTGTGTCCCATCTTCTGGGCCATGTTGACCTCCCATTGAGGATGGGTCATGGTACAAGACAGAGGCAGGAACTCACTTGCCCTTTTTGAGACTCAGATTTCTGCCTTATTATCTGAGAGACCATGAGAGACAGTGAGGCCGCAACAATGGGAAGAGCACATATGAAAACAAGGAGCTGTGCTTGCTTTTTAATTTTCACCCTAGACGTGGCTCCTCAGATACTGTTCTGCCTGGTTAAAAACGCGTGCTTTCTGATTCTGAAGAGGCTGAGTCTCCATGTTACTTCTTGTGGCTACCAACCTCTATGGCCCCACCCTCCTCTCTTTTAGAGAGTGTTTATCTGCAAAGTGCTGAGCGATTTTGACTTGAGTATACTCTAATATTTAAACTAGAAAACTTTGCCTCAAAATACACCAAAGTCAATCAGACTCTGTACAATGAGACTGGAAGGGAAAAGGTGGACGTGAAAGGATTACACCTGTCATCTTCCATTTCGAATCCCTCTGACACTTATCCACAGTCCTTTCACCACTATGGATTGGAAAATGTTGCAATTTGAGGCCCAGTCTTGCTTATGGATTTTACATACAGTCATTTTACCAGACTTGGACAATATCCTTCTTGACTGCTGGTGTTAACTGCAGTGAAGAGATGAAAGACACTGAAAAAAGCCTTGGTTTCAAATTAACCCCACTATTTAAGGATAGAAGATTTCACTTATAGACCATTTATAAATATTTAGTTATCAATGAGGAAGTTCCACATGGAGGACTGATATTGATCCCAGCATCAGGAACCCAGCTACAGGTAATGCTAGAAAAGGCCATTCAACTGGATTATGAGGTTAGAGAAAAACGGAAGACAATTTTTACAAATCTTGAATGAAAATTTCCAAATTCCCCATTCCTACCAAGGCTGAAAAAGAAGCAAAATCTTTATTCAACATAAGATTTTTTCTCTCCTGTTATCAGTGATATTTCTGAATTCATGACACCTGATTCAAGCCAGGCAGCTACAAAAAGTATGTGCAGGGAAGATCACAATGGGAATGGAAATGAATGGAGTAGTGGAGAAAGTAGAAAGAAATGAACATTACATGCTCTTTCTCCTGCTTGTCATTCTGGGATATAATATGTATAGCAAGTGCCATACTCATGGTGCCCTGTATATGAGGATTACCAAGAGACATTGGGAACTCTTCCCCTTACTTCTGGGATGAGCTGAAATTGAACCCCAGCTATATGAGGGAAGACTAAAATTCCATGCATAACTTTTTAAAACCTATTCTGCTACATCTGGGTGTAAATTCAATTCTATGGAGATAGCATATACAACCAGACAAGGAACACTTTTCAACTGTCTAAGACTTTTGCAGTGTAGAACTCACACTACTTCCTGACCCACCTTGACTCTCCCATGGAAGCTGCTTTTGCAACCTTGCCCCCACCCTAAGCAGCACATAAACATTCTAAAGGACCTGCCCACAGAACGACCCTCACAAGCGTATCCAATAAAGGCTTAACTGCTAGTTAACCGCATGCCCCCACCCCCCACCCCAGTCCACTTGATACAAGACTGCAGTTTGCCATCTCTCTCTCCCTCCACATGCCCAGCGGTCAGGCACAGGTGCAGGTGGTTTTGCTAACTTTGAACTCAGTGTTAGGCATCCTTGCCTTTCCAACGAGGGGGGGGGGGAGGGATGGGGAGAGACAGAGATGAAACGTTCACATAGCAGAGGGTAGAAGGAGAGGGTGCGTTTTCTCTGAGGATATCAGGGTTGTCCCCGGCCCCTGTCATGACCTGTAGGCTCTTCAGCTCCCTCAGTGGTTCGACCTATAGGGGCTTCAGCCTGGGCCCAGTTCTCTGTCCATCTGGTCGGGAGGGCTCTGTGACACAAGGGCATGGCGGGGTTGCCAGAGTTCGGGCGGGTGGGAGAGCCTTGTGCGCTGTCTGCAAATAAAAGGGGGAGACCGGGGGATATCGGGTGTCCGCTGGGCCCTAAGAAAGCGGCAAGGCGGACTGTTTAACCCGGTTAAAGGGTAGGTGTCTCCATATATCCCAGGCGTGGGGNAACCTATTCTGCTACATCTGGGTGTAAATTCAATTCTATGGAGATAGCATATACACCCAGAAAATGAACAGTTTTCAACCGTCTGTTTATTCCCTAAGACTTTTCCAGTGTAGAACTCACACTACTACCTGACCCACCTTGACTTTCTCATGGAATCTGCTTTTGCAACCTTGCCCCCACCCTAAGCAGCACATAAACATTCTAAAGGACCTGCCCA